GAAAGGTATGGCTTACCTGTATCTTGGATTTGTGGGGAATGGACGCAATTGGAAATTGTAATTTGTGGGGATACATGTGGAACGTTTGTGGATTTAATTTTTGGACTGTGAGAAAATTTGTTGCCATTGATTATTTCATTTTTTCATCATTCTTTTAAAATATATCGAACCATACACTGTTAAGAAATTTCCCTACAATGTTTAAAAAATTAATAGGAATAACATTTTTCAGTACAGATTTCCAAAGGTTTTTTGCTTGATTTTTTTATGAGAGAAGTAAAAAAGAGAGTGAAGAAAACAGAAAAATTTCGCTGAGGAATTCTTATAGAAAATGTGTCAATAGAAAAAGTTGTATAGTAATAAATTCTATTAATTTTTTTAGAACATAATTATCGTCGGATATTTTTGTTAATAAAGTCGCCGAAAAAAGAATCGCATTTTCAATAAAAATTCTTTACAAAATACGTTTTACAGAAAAAATCAATGGAACTTGATTCAACTCGACTTTCAATTTATCTTGATTCAATTGAATTTTTGCAGATCATTCCAAAATTTGTTGGAATTGATTATTTCATTTCTTAATCATTATTTTAAGGTATCTTTACCCCTACATTGTTCAAAATTTTTCACTGAAATGTCCGGTCTTGGAAATTTATAAAAAGCAAAATTTCCAGTGAAATTTCGAGGAATTTCGTCAATGAAAAATCATAATTTCGTGTAAAAATTAAAGGAAACTGTAAATTTCAGTTCAATTATTCCAAGAAAATTAAAGAAAAATCAGGAAAATTCAGAGAAATGTCGCCTTGAATTCCATATTCCTCTGAATTTTCAGAGAATTCCTTTAAAAATTCCTGGAGTTCTAAGAATTTTAAAAGAATTGCATGAAAATTCACAGGACTTTAGTCGTGGATATTCATTTTTTTCACTTGCTTACGTTTGGAGGAAACTGGATGAAAAAATGAAATAATTTCTAAACAATCAATTTTTCAGCGTAAAAATCATCTGTTCGGAATCTTAACAAATTTAATAATATTCAGAATTTTACCAGAAATCGATTTCATTCCTAAAAAATTAAGGTTTCCAAAATTTTGAGCAATTTCAATTATTTATTCATAAACAACGAATGTTTAAAATGTTTCATTTGATATTATCTCTAAATTTCTGAAAAAAAACATTTCCACTGAAATTTCAAGGAATTTTGTCAGTGAAAATTCATAATTTCATGGAAAAATCAGAGGAAACTGTAAATTTCAGTTTAATCGTTCCAAGAAAATTACAGAAAAATCAGGAAAATTCAGAGAAATCTCGCCTTGAATTTCAGATTCTCCTGAATTTTCAGAGAATTCCTTCAAAAATTCCTGGAGTTCTAAGAATTTTAACGGAATTGCATGAAAATTCACAGGAATTTAGTAGTGCATATTCATTTTTTTCACTTGCTTCCGTTTGGAGGAAACTTCATGAAATAATTAAATAATTTATAAACAATCAATTTTTCACCATGCAAATCATTTATTTAGAATTTTATCAAAATTGATTAATGTTCTGCATTTTAGCTTCCAAAAATTTCAGCGATTTCAACTATTCATTTATAAACAAAGAATGTTTAAAATCTTTCATTTGATATCATCTCTAAATGTCTGGAAAAAACCATCGTTCAATCTTCTGTTAATATCGGAAATTATGTGATGGAGAAATTAAATCCACTCGAGTCGACTACTTTCGATCGAACATTAGTAAAATGTAAATATAAACAACCCTTCAACCCGAAAAGTCATATCGATTACTCACGCACCAAATACCGAAACAGTGATTCTCTCATCGGCATGGAGCCTGATAGTCGGAGACAACAGAATTTTTTCCCTCGATATCACCATAAAAATGCAATTTGAATAATAGTCGAAAATTCCTTGAATCTCAAATCTTCAAAACAGAGGCATTTTCCTTCTTCGGAGATGACAAAATCCTATCAATCGAGTTCTTAATCTCATTCACCCGAAAAATGTCGACGATTATGATAATGATGATAATGTCACCTCCGATAAAACCCGAAAACAGTTCATCGATAACATCGGGAGACAACTAATGTAAAATGATCGAGTCACCTTCACAGTTCCCATGAATCAATGAGTGACAATAATGCCCATGAATATTGGCATCGACAAATAAGCCAATAGTATGCAGGCAATAATGATCTTTATGATTTTGTACGCGACTTATATTGGTTTTTCGCCGATTTCATTGAAAAATTCAGCAGCTTCTGTGCGATTTTATTTTTCAATAGGAGTGTTTAATAGAAAATAATTTATAGGAAAAATTCATAGAATTTGATTTTTCTATACAACTTATTCTGTTGAGATAACATTCCTCGGTGATTTCCGAAGTTTTTTTGCTTCATTTTTTATGAGACGAGTAGAAAAGGGAGTGAAGGAAACAGAAAAACTTCGTTGAAGAATTCTTATAGAAAATGTGTCAATAGGAGAAGTTGTATAGTAATAAATTCTATTGATTTTTTCTAGAAAATAATTATCATTGGATATTTTTATTAATGAAGTCTTCTAAAGAATAATCCCATTTTCAATAAAAATTCTTTACAAAAAACGTTTTCCTGAAAAAATCAATGGAACTTGATTCAATTGAATTTTTGTAGATCATTCTATGGAGATGTTTTTTACTTTCTGTGACCTTTGAAAAAAAAAATTAACAAAATTATCAAATTATCAAAGTTTTTTGCTTAATTCTTTTCAATGAAAAAACTTAAATTTTGGTTGATGAATTCTGATAGAAAATGTCTCAATAGAAGAATTTGTATAGTAACAAATTCTATTAATTATCTCTACAAAATAGTTGTCATTGATCATTTTTACAACTAAAACTGCCTAAAAATTAATAGAATTTTGAATAGAAATTCTTAATAGAAAATATTTTATAGAGAAAATGACTAGACTTCACTTTTCTGTACAACTCCAGATATTTTCGATAGAAATTCGTCGACTCAAATTTTCAATTTTTTTCGTTAAATTAAAAAAAATTGAAAAATTTTAAAAAGTGAAAAAAAAATGTGAAAATTTTAATTCAAAAATCCTTGTAGAAAATGTCATAATAGAATTGTACAAGAGTTTCTATTGGAACTATTTATAAATAAAACTCGTCTGAAAACTAATGAAATTTTCAATCGAAATTAAATAGAATTTTCTAGCAGATTCACTAGGTTTCCCTATAAAATTTTTTCATACGTAATCTCTTCCTCAAAAGTCCAAAATTCAAAAAAAAAACTTACGAAGATTCTCTCTCGATACGTAATCTCGTACTGCCACTCGGCACGCTCCCGTGTGTGCCCGACATTTTTTTCTCGTCGCGCCTGTAATTACGACAACATACTAGACCGTAGGTAAGAGATAAGGTCAACGTCGAGATATATATACTACTCATAAAACGATGTAATCTCGTTAGAAGACATTCGGTAATTGCTACTGTTAGTAATATTTATTAGACCTTTTTTTACAAGTTTTATTTCACGGCCGGCGCCTCTACTGATAATTTCAATTTGTCTTTATTAGCCAAACAATGAACTGATAAGAGGGAACACTGGCGATCATTTGCATCGGTCTATTATTAGGAATGAAAAATTATGCCTTTGCAGCAAAATTATTTTTGCATTTTTCATTTTTTTCAAATTTTTGGGGTCAATTAAAGGTAAAAAAATGATTTTTTTTTGCGTCGTCAATTGATTTTTTTGTACGTAACTATCTTTTACTGAGAGAAAAAATTTGTTCTGCTGGAAAATTGTATGTTCCACTGAAGAGATCTTTCGTCGTGTTGAATCAATTTATTTGCGGACAAAGAAGAAAGTTTCCACCGAAACCGATAATTTTCGCAGTAGTAATTGTTCTCGTCAGACATTTATGTCTTTCGGGTAAATGCATTCGTTCTACAGAGAATTATATGAAACTCCAGTTTTAACAAGTGAATGTTATTGAGTAGTGAATATCCTTGTCCAATAAAAACTTATAATTTCCATGAAACAATTGATAATTTCAAGAGGAAACTACAATTTTCTTGCCGAAAACTGTGTTATTGGCAAAACTAAATAATTTCGAGGGGACAATTTTTTTGGGGGAAAAAATATTTTTTTCGCCACGGCGGGATCGAAAATTCAATTAAGTCGCGTAATTTTCGTTTTATTTCTGCTTGAAGTCCATGAATTTACTTGAATTACTGGCTTGAACCTTGAAATTTTAGTTTAACCTTGAGTTTTTTCGTTCAAAGTCAGATCTAATGTCACTTTTCTGACATTGACTACTCTATTATTCTGAAAAAATCGAAATTTCTTGGAGAATTGGGATTTTATGGCAAAATGATGGTGACATTTCAAGTCTTCAGTAGACGTAACGCGAAAATTTCACATCCTAATTGTGTTTACATCATTTATAATAATAAATCGGGAATAATTCGACAGAAATTTACAGATCATAGTCATTTTTTCAAGTGATAATTGGAACATCAAGCATTCCAGTCCATGATTTTTCAATTATCTTTCGAGATTTCCTGAAATTTCAGAGGAAATGTCACCTCATGAAAACGTGCGGCATTTGACGCGGAATATTGAGGGAAAATATTTAGTCATATACCAATCGGTCCATATATTTTTTTAAATGTAGTGAATTATTATTTTTTTAATTACTGGGAAAGGGGGCGAGATTAGATTTGAGAAAATATTTGAATGTTTACCGACGAACACATGAATAAAAATTTCTTGTTCATGATTTTTTTCCGGAAAAAAAGAACTCAGTTAATTTCCATCTTTTACTTGAATAATGAAAAAAATCTGTTTTATTATAAGTAATAATCATCTATCTCAAAAAATATTTTTTTTTCTTTTATTCACGTATTTATTTACGAATGATTTTTTAGACGAAGATCTTGAAGAAATTGTTCGCGCTAAAATAAACTTCAAAAATGTTTCACCGATTTTAAATGAATAGATGATTTTATATTTCAAGGAAAAGACTTCATTGGTCTTGAAGAGGTCTCGAGAATCGACTTCCTGGTGCCACTGTTTGGCGAGGCCCTTGGGACATTTCTTCTAGTGTTAATCGGATGCGCATCGTGCGTAACGTGGGATCCTGATAATGCTCCAATGGTGCTACACATCGCCTTCACCTTTGGTCTTGCGGTCGCTGCTCTCGCCCATGTAAGTCATCATTCTCTTCCTCGAATAAGAAAAAAAGTCCAGAATAAAGAAACTCGTGAAATGAATCGAGATTAACGAAAAAAAATCGAAGAAAAAAATTCAAAAAACGAGTGGATCTCTATTACATAATTTCATCTCGCGTTTTTTTTCGTCACTTCTGTTTTTTAACGAAACAAAAAACGAAATTGGGAGATAAAAATGAGGCGAGTGCTACAATATGACCACAATGAAGAATACATAATGTAATACCGGTGCCTGCGGTTAGCTCACGTGCGCGCGTGTTGAGAATGGAACGAGCGAGGGAGGAGGGGGTGAGAGTGGACGGCTCCCATTCACCGAATTAAACCTCACGGCAACTCGTTCGGGATTTCAATGCTCTCGCCTTTTCCATCTTTTTGCCGAATCCAATTAATCACCACTTATCATAGTTCTTTTTGTGCTAATTAAGGTGCGAAATGGTATTGAAACTTTTCATCGGTATTTTGTGTTGTTTAAGGGGAGACCGCACTGGCATTTCACAATCCCAGGGGCCTTTATCTATCGTGCTGATGAGTTACTACTTAAGTTTTAACGTAAATAAATGAGAAGAAATTGATTTGATTTTTTTCATTGACGCAATCCTCAATTGGTGAAGTAGATTTTTGGGTTTTACATACAGAATATTTGCATCAATATAAATAAATGGAACTTTTTGAACAACTTCATGTTTTGGGTTTTTGAATTCTTTCAGATTTTTTTTCATCATTTTCCTCATTACGTTGTATAAATAAATGATTCGAAAAATCTGAAAAAATTCATACTTCAATGCTTTACGATGTAGTTGAATGTTTTCTCTCATTTTTCACCTTAGCCAATTTTGCGCGAAAAATTCCAACAACTTTTAAAATAGAAATTAAAAAAAAACATTTGATTATGTTTCTGTACATATTATGTATGTGTGAACCAAAATTTTCAGATTTAATGTTAAAAATTATATGTTTCGATTTCTTTCATTGATGGAATCATCGATAATTTTCAATCGATGACTTGAATTTTGGTCTACCCATACAGTATATATGCACAAATATAACTAAATGCAGTTTTTTGAAAATCTTCATGTTTTGGGTTTTTGAATTTCTAAAGATTTTTTTTCATCATTTTACTCATTATATTCCGAATAAATGATTTGAAAAATCGGAGGAAATTCATACTTCAAGGCTTTATGTAGTTGAATGTTTTTCTAATTTTTCACCTCTGCCAATTTTGAGAAAAAAAATCCAAACACTAAAAAAAGTTGGAATTTAAAAAAAATGCTCATTTGATTATGTTTCTGTACATATTATATATGTGTAAACCAAAATTTTCAGATTAAATGTAAAAAATAATGTTTTGATTTTTTTCATTGATGGAATCATCGATGGACACAATTTTCAATCGATGACTTGAATTTTGGTTTACACGTACAGAATATATGCATAAATATAGCTAATTGAAGCTTCTTAAAAATCTTCATGTTTTGGGTTTTTGAATTTTTTCAAATTTTTTTCATCATTTTCCTTATTATATTCTAAATAAATAACTCAAAAAATCTGAAAAAATTTATACTTCAATGCTTATGATGTAGTTGAATGTTTTTTCTAATTTTTACCTCTGCCAATTTTGAGAAAAAAATTCCAAAAACTCAAAAAATGTAGATTTTTAAAAAAGCTCCTTTTATTCGTCTAACTCCTCTTTTTAATCTATAAAAAAATCTAAACCTAATGTTTTCTTATTTTTTTACATTAACACTAAAGTAGTAAAATCATCAGCACAAGACATTGATTTTGTAAACGCATTTCACCTCAAATGCAACTTAAAATCTCAACGTAAATATTTGGCTCATAACCCAAGGTTGAGAGCATCGACCTGAATTTGAAAATAATTTCTCTTGAACCTTTTTTTGAATCCAATTCTAGATACAAATCTGTCTAATTTTTAATAGTAACAAATCAATATAAACTTTCAATTAATTTTTTGCGCCAAACAATGATTTCATTATTCGAAAATTCAATGAAAATCTCTATTTTAGTCTCATAGAAAATTCCAGATAATTGGAATTCCATGCTGGTTTGGTACAAGACGTTTTGTATCAATTTAATGAAACAATATTCCTTCAAATTCAATTCAAAGTATCAATGTCAAAATTTCGCACACAACTGTCAATCAAACTCCCATAAATTTCTAACGGCGTAAATCAAGTCTTATGAAACTCCCATTCTTTACGAGACAATCGCTTCTGGATATTGTTGCACGACACCTGTGCCGATCATGCAATACTCATATGTAAGACTATAAAGCTTTAAAATTATGGAAATTTGGATTTGAAAAATTCTGGATATAATTACTCGTGAATTGCATTGATACACTGATCGTGACATCTCTTTGACAAAGATGAACCTCTCAAATGAGCCGGTCTCCAAACTCTCCAGTAAATGCGGAGTTAATCTTTCAATTTCCGAATTTGCCTGGAGCAGTTGCGCTCATGAGTCACTGCGAATATATCTTCATTCCAAATGCAACGGCTCAATTATCCTCGCTTCTGGTGAATATCCAAGTGCTTTCGCCACTTTTTTCGTTGAGAGCCTTCTAACATCAGAGCTTTCATTCAATTCGCTTTTTAACCCGAGTTTTTAAACTTTTTTGAATGATTTTTCATTCAAACTTTGAAAATCTTGATTTTACTTGCGTTTTCAACCGTTTGGAAAGATTAAAAAAAACCTGAAAATAACTTGGAAAGTCCGCATTTCAAGATTCGTAAAATTATTTTACAAAAATTGTATGAACAATAAATTTTCCCCTTTAAAAATAATTTTTTCGACATTTAAAAAATTTTTTTGAGATTAGAAATTTTACTCGAAATTTATTTCCTGCCAAATAGGCGGTTTTCTGTAATTGAAATAATTTCGATTGATTATTTATTTTGTTCTAAAGATTGAAAAGATTGAATCCTGATTTGGATTGTTTATTTATGGGAAGCACCAAGAAAATTAGTTGATGAATTTCAACAACTAATTGTTGAAAATAAATGAATTACTAACCAGTTAGTGAATTTCAACAAAGTAGTTGGTAAAATTTAAAAACTTAATGTTGAAATTCACGAAATAAGTTTCTCAGTGAAGAATCGTTTATCGAAGAATTCTGTCCAAAATGTAACTTGAATAATGCCGATTATCCATGAATTTTTCATCAGATTTTGTTGACACAATCTAATTGCCGAATTTGATGATTAGAAATATCCAGATGTACAGGCCGAGTGGTCTACAAAAAACTGTGAAAGACTCAGATATCTGCAATCCAGTGGTACCGCACAGCGTGACGAATTGCGAGAGTGCGGAGCGAAAAAAATGTTCAGATTTTGATAGACAGGTTTTTAGGCATTCAAAGGTTTAGAGATGTAAAAAGTCGAGTAACTGAAAGAACGAAAAAAAACTAATTCATCTCTGGAAATGCCTCAATCTAATTTTTATGAACATTCCCTCGTATTGTTGATCAATTATTTCTTCATCGTGTTATTCAATGATGTTTTCAATGAAAATACTTGAATATTTTATTATTCTAGGCGTGAGGAACAGTGATAGAAACAGAAAACAAAAACCTGTTGATTGAACCTTTTTTACAATGAAATTTACTGTTCTAATGATTCAGTTCCGTCATCATGACTTCTAATTAACATATCTTTCGTCAAGTCATCGTGTTTTTCCTAAACCGGATATTCCCAGATTCAGAACTTCTTACAGGAGGATAAAAAAATAATCAAATTACATGGATTAATAAAATTACACGGATAGATAAAATTTTTGGCGAAAAACGTAACGTTTTTTTAAAATACTTCAATTCAATTAAATTTTTCAGCCACTAAAAATTTGGATGTTATAACTACTGATCGCCATCGAAAACAAATTCCAAATGCAGAAACAATACCAATGCGACAATAGTTGAAAAAAATGTTCCACTTTCAGTTGAAATAACTCGACATAACAAAACATAGCCTGATAAATTCAGAGATTTTATGACGACGAAACTAATTTTTTACTGATGTCTCTACGACCTACAATTTTCTAGATGTCATCGTATGTTTCAGATCTAGAAAAATTAGTGTCTGAAATTATATCTTCCCAATAGTTTTCGTCGATATATTTCAATTACCTGTGGGGAATTATAGCGGAAGCGACAGCCCGTCTACTCGAGGTTCATTGTTTATTTCATTTTACAATATTAAATTGAATAAGATTTTTTTTAAACTAATTTTGTCAGATTTTCAACTTGGTTAAATGTTATCATCATCATTATTCTTATTATCCATTTCTTCTATACAACCGATTGTCTTTTTTACGGATTTATCTTTCTCCTCAGCCCTTCGATAAAATATTAATAGAAATATTTTATTTACACACTAGGGGGCTTCGCCCCCTGCTCGCTCCGCTTGACAAGCTGGGGGGGGGCTTCGCCCCCCCGCTCGCTTCGCTCGCTCCCCCCCCCGTCCGTGTGACCGCAGGGGTGTGACCGTACCCATAAATATCTTCCATATGAGCACCCCCTAATATAGTAATCCTCCATAAATATCGATATCCCCTTTATGATCGTCCCCTCATATAGACATCCCTTATAAATACAGGCACCTCCCCATATAGGAACCCCCGTATAGGCACCCAGCGTCCCCTGAATTTAAGAGGCCCCTGAATTTGAGCGTCCCCTGAATTTAAGCGTCCCCTGAACTTGAGCGTCCCCTGAATTTTTCGCCTTATTTTTTTATTTATATAGAGAGATATAGAGAGATACTTGAATGAATTTGGAACATCACATTTGAAAAAACCATCAGAAAGCTCACTTTCAGGGAAATTCATGAACAATTTGAAATTTTCAACAATCATCATAAAAATCAAATCAATCAATATAGCTATCGTAATCATCTTTTAACTTCGACTTAATGGCATTAAAACAAACATTTTGAGCTATGATTTGATGCATGATATTCAAAGATA